TTTGAAGACTTTCGACTCTTGGTCTTTGTTTCATTCGAAGTTTTATGCTTGGAAGTTGATATGGATTTTATAATTTCTACAAGAAATAGTTCGCCATGTTTTTTTTAAGAGAAGAAAGAATAGGAATATGATTTACATATAATTAGCGAAGCGGGAAAATAACACAGTGAATAGATAAAATATTTATAACTAACCAGCTACAAGAGCGAGCTGTTTCAATAGGCTCATATTTATAAAAAAGTTATGTCCGTTTTTTGATTAGTCATTGAATGAAGTTGAAATATATACGAAATGCGTGTAGCAATTGTTTTCAAATTCGGACAGCCGGAAGTAGGAACACCAGATGTTATAAAAAAACACGCGCACCGTGCCCGGCCATCGGTTATAAGCCGGACAGCTGTGAGAAGGATGGAAGTGTCTAGAGATCTCGTTCGGGGCTGTTTGCTTTACGTCTTCAAAGTAGGCTTATCAGCAGCTGCATCAAGTGGCCGCATATGTCAAGCGTTTGGGGATAGTGCTGTGGATGAACGTACTGCAAGGCGTTGGTTTCGAAAATTCAAGTCGGGAGATTTGTCTCTCCATGATGATCCTCGCAGTGGACGACCACAGGTCTTGAATGACGGAGTCCTGAAGGCAGCCATTGAAGAGGACAGTAGTCTAACGTGTGGCAAACTTGCAAGACAGTTCAACGTTTCCGATGAAACAGACTTCACCTGCACCGCCTAGGTAAGACGTACAAACTGAGCAAATGGGTTCCGCAAACGCTGTTGGAGGGACAAAGAGTGGCAGCCTGCGTATCGCTGCTTTCTCTCCACCGTACCGCATCCTTATTCAATCGAGTGCTTACCAGTGAAAAGTGGGTTCTGTACGAAACCCCCAAGCGTTCCAGACATTGGTTGTCTCCTCAGGATGCTGTCCCTCACACCTCAAGACCGCCTATGCACCCGCGCGAGATTATACTTTGTGTCTGGTGGACAGGTCGTCAAGTGGTTCATTATGAACTGCTACCAACGGGCCAAACGGTGGCTTGAGACCTACACTCGCAGCAATTGAAACGTGTGCAAAAGGCATTGCGCCAGAAGGAGCCAGCACTGGTGAATCGCAAAGGTGTGCTTTTCCTCCATGACAACGCCAGGCCGCATGTCGCGCAAGTAGTCAGGGATACCATACAACAACTTGGGTGGGAGACTTTGTGCCATCCACCTTATTCACCTGACCTTGCGCCATCCGATTACCATCTCTTCCACTCCCTGGATAATCATCTTCGTGGGAAATCCTTTACCAATGAAGCAGACTTGTGCAAAGCCCTCACGGAGTTCTTTGCCTCAAAATCCCCAGAGTCCTACTGCAAGGGCATTGAACAGCTGGAGACACGTTGGCAGAAGGTGCTGGATGCCGATGGTGCTTACTTTGAAGACTAAATATAAGTTACACATACTGTGAAGCGTTTGCTTTTTTTCCTTTAAAAACGGACAGAACTTTTTTGGTTACCTTGTATATTTCCATTTGTTAATATCTACCCATCTCTCTCTCTCTTTCTCTCTCTCTCTCTCTCTCTCTCTCACTCACTCCATCTACTTATGTAGGTATATCAAGACTGAAACAGACAGGCAGACAGACAGACAGACAGATAGATAGATAGATAGATAGATAGAGAGAGAGATACGAACAAACTGATTTAGATAGATAGTGAGAAGAAAGAAAGAAATACGAACAGATAGATAGAGAGAAAGAGAGTGAGATAGAAAGAAAGAAAGATACAAAGCGACTGTGATAGATAGATAGATAGATAGATAGATAGATACTGATATAGATACTGATATAGAGACTGATTTCGATAAATATGTAGACAAAGAAACAGAGTAAGAGAGAGAGAGAGAGAAAGAGAGAGAGAGAAAGAATGAAAGATAGATACGAACAGAGTGAGATAGATATACAGATAGATAGATTGATCGATAGATGAAGAAAGAAAGAAAAATAAATACGAACAGACTAAATCTTACTTTCTTGTAAATTTTTATAATTTTATTTTCTGATTTATCTGTTTTTTCTATGTTGCCATTTTTTTTAGAATTATGAGTCCGTCGTCTACATTATAGTCCTATATCTGTTGTTGTTGTTGTTGTTTATACTCGTTACTAGTTTGTGTAGAAGGTCATGTCTAGTATAAATTCAGTAATGGATGGGCAAAAATCTCTGATATTAAATTGTACATATTTTATAATTGTTCATATCTTTTATGTAGCTAAATCAGTCTATTTCTGACCTTGTGCTTTCCAATTGCTTTAAAAATTGTTCTTAGTCTAAAGATAATATCTTTTATTATAATTTTACTTATTTGTTCTAGTTCAATTTTTGCTGGGTTTATAATGATTGGTTGATGCCTAAGGTCTTGTGGTTTCTTCATTTTTTCTTCTACGTACCGTGTCCCTTCAGGACGTTGACGATCATGGCTCTTCACAATTTTCCTTTCCTAAACTCCATCCATTTACACAAGCTCGCTAGGTAGGTTATGCGATGTTTTCCTCTGTCCCTATTACCTTGAACCTATCCCGTGAGTATCATATTTTCCAAGCTCTCTTTCCTCATTATGTGCCCTAGAAATTTCAACCGATGTTAAGCATAATTGTCCTATTCGTTTCCATTTTCTCTAGTAGTTTCGTAGTTGCTCACATATTCAATCCGTGTTATTCTCAGCATCCCTCTGTTGAACCCCATTTTTGTTACCTCAGATATTTTCTTCGTATGTGATGAGAATGTCCAGCATTCGCTGGTGTATAGGAAGACCGATATTACATAAGTTAAAGACTTTTTTCTTTGTCCCTAACGAGATTTTCCTGTTTCGTAATAGTTTGCTGAGCTTTTGGAAGGCATCTTTCGCTATACCAATGCACTTTCCGATTTCGGTATCACATATTCCGTCCTCTGTTAAAACACTTCCTAGATATTTAAATTTTTGGACTTATTGATTTTGACATCTCCAAATCGTAATTAGCATGTTGGACTCTTCTTTTTGCTGACAACCATTAATTCTGTCATCTGCTGATGGTTTGTCCTTTCTTCTCGCTTTCCTTTACTACCTTCTGTAAGAGTTCCTGTGGTTTACTTTCTCTGTCTGCTGTCAACACTATGTCATCTGAATATCTAATGTTGATTGAGACCGCCAATAATGAATCCTGATAGACTAATTCCTTTACTGTAAAGGTTGAATAAATCCACTGAGAAAACACCCATTTGTCTTGCACCCCCTTTCCCTCCATATGCCGTCAGTTTGCTCCCAATATAAGTTCTGGATTATTCTAATATCTTTCCCAAATAGATCAAGCTTACTTAGCAATTCAGTCAGTTTCTTTGTGAGGTACAAACTGTATTTGTGCGTCTTTTAGTTTGATGAATACTTAACATTTAGCGAGGCAATTTTATATCGTCTAGGTCTATTAAATACTTTCATGATAATTGTTCTGATGAACTTTCCTCTTTGGGGCCCTGATCTTTATGAATTTAAGCACAGTACTAGATTGGCGGTAAGGTCCCATCATTATAGAGTTGAAATGGCTAGATGTAACCGTAAGTTCTTTGCTAATATTTTCTTTTCTCGCCTGTGTTTTTTCGCCTTTTCTCGCTTGTGGAACTTCCTTCTCGCCTTTTCTTGCTTGTGGAACTTCCTTCTCGCCTTTTCTTGCTTGTGGAACTAGCTTCTTGCCTTTTCTTGTTTGGAGGATTGCTTCTCGCCTTTTATCGCTTGTGGAACTTGCTTCTCGCCTTTTCTCGCTTCTGGAACTCGCCTCTCGCCTATTCTGACCCACGGAACTAGCTTCTCGGCTATTCTCGCATTTGGAACTCTCTTCCGGCTTCCTGCTTGCCAGCCAACATTGATCTTCAAAAATTTGAATACAATGTCAATCGTTATTCTTTTATTGTTCTGGCCCTTAAATAAATGTTTTTCTTTTTCTTATTCTTTCATATTCAGTGAACCCTTGTGTCTTAGTGACTTTATTGTCTTTCTTGTGGTGAAATGATTAAAACAGTTATGTTTGTTAAGTCCTTTCAAAAGTTATCTCGATCGTTTTGTTCTCGTCACATTTTCTTCTATCGGAATATTTTCTTTTTCTTTACTGTATGTGTTGTCGTCTTGATTTAATAAGAAGTGTGTTTTTCTATCACATTCTTTTTTTTTTAGCATCATCGAGGTGCAGGTGGTGTAATGGATCACTGCACGTGATGAGTAATCGGATAACCGAGTTCGAGTTTCAGTCTGGTTTGTTTCATTCACTTATGCTTGAATACTTTTGTGAAATATATGAATCTACTTCCCCTAGCTATACATTAAATAGTAGAATTTGTAACTTGAGAAAAGAGTGTTATTCTAGAAAAGATTGTTTATGAGAAATTCATTCGCTCCCATCATTAAAAAAAAAAAAGAAGATTTTTTCTTAAAATCCAAATCGTCTTTAAATAACTCAAAAACGGTTGATAAGCCGTAAAAAATAAATCAATTAATCATATGTCTCTCATTTTTTTCTATTAATTTTAGTTTGTATACATGCAATGGTGGGATGGGAATTACTTTTAGCTCAAATTTTTCCATGACTGTAGGTTGATGTAAATACAGCGAGAGGCTCTCTTGACTTCAGGTAGCTGGGTATATGGCTGCTTTCCTATTCCCCACGCTTCTCTTAACCCCCTCGAACCCCTCCCCCACACACACCCGGCTTTATATACAACCCGTGCTAAGTAGTAGTGACGCATGGTCTAAAGATCGCATTGATACGTGTAACTGACAGTCACCATGCAACGTTGATTCTTATGTCCACACTGTTTATATCTACAAAATGATACCCGATATTGAGCAGAATTCCCCAATAAATATAGCAAATTTTAACAATACTAACAGTACCCATGAAAATTTAACAGTATATTTAATTAATAAGGGATAATGATCGAGAAACTTCAATTATATTGAAAATGTGTTAATTGCATAACACGAAGAACTATACAAGATGATATATGTTCATTTTAACGTTACAGTTTACCCCCCTCTCTCTTCCATTCACTTCTTTATTTTCCATTACTTTCTGTTTCCATCTTTCCTACTCCCATTTCACTCAAGCACTCTATCCTCCGTTTCTTTCTTTCTTTCTTTCTTTCTTTCTTTCTTTCTTTATTATGTATGCTTTTTTTCTTACTAAAATCAGGCAGAGTTCTGATATAGGTTTTCCTTCCGTCTTTCCTCACAGTCAAAACGAAATAGTCCATTATTTAACTAAAATAATATAAGAGCGTATAATGTAAATTTTGTTAATTTAATAAAAATTTCATTACAGTATTATTTTATTAATGAAATATTACGTCATTTTTTCCTTAAATCAAATTTCCAACAATCAAAGAAAGAATATTTATATACTATAGTATATAAATATTCTTTCTTTCTTTCTTTCTTTCTTTCTTTCTTTCTTTCTTTCTTATTATTATTATGCATACTTTCTTTTTCAAAGACCAAACAGTGTATACGATATGATATATCCACTTCTTCCATCTTTCCTGGCAATAAAAGTTGAATAATCTATCTCTCTCTCTCTCTCTCTCTCTCTCTATATATATATATATATATATATATATATATATATATATATATATATATATATATATTTCATTTGATAAAAAAAGCTAGGAAAATACATTAACAACTTTCGATACGAACTAAGAATTGTAAAGATACCAGAATATATAGATATAGACAAGCCTAAAAGCATTACATACATATATGCTTGTATGCGTGTGTGTTAAAGCAGATTATAAATACATGCACATAATCAGATAATCACACGCAAGCAATTCCACCCACTTGTGCGTTGAAGTATGAATTTTTGTTTATTTCTTTCTATTATTAGGAACAGTAAGTATCGCCCCCGCAATACTTGTTGAATTAGGTAATGAAACACTTGCGCTTTGAATTCATTTAAACATTTAGACGAATGTTTTCTGGAAAATTCCACCACAATAAACTTCCTCATAAACATGTATCAGATACGAGATTGGCTATTTTATCTGAAACTCAACTTTTGATAAGAAAGATAAGTATTTATTCTTCGAGTCCTGAAACGCTGGAGGATATTTACTGAATTTTGGTTAGGTTAGGTCAAGGCCAAATGAGGAGGTTTCTTTCTTACTAAATGCTCATCCAATACAAAACTCAAGCCACTCAAGTTAGGAGGTTACTGAGTAGGGCAGTTGTATGGGCATAAATGCCCATTATGTAGGTATGTAGCGTAGATATGACCTTGGAATTGATTGTAGTGATCGGGAAAGTACCCCCTCAGAGGTCTGTTCCACAAATCAACGGTCCTTGAGAAGTTGTCCGAATTAGAATTCATACTTACCAGTGGAATACGGAGGAAATGCAGATGATTTAACCCTGTGGATGTGGAATAGCTTGTCCTAGGTGTAAGTGTCTGAATAGTGGAACTAAAGAATGTAGCTCGTCTGAACATTTGCTATGGGAAAAAAGCGATAGCATAAGAATAGGCTTGTGACATTTTGTCTGTGGGAAATGAGCTGTAGGGCTGAAAATAATTCATGGTTTACAAGGCGGTTTAAACGCTTTAAAAATTTGTCAAAGTTAGAAAAAGCTGGGCAAATCCTATCCAGATATGGCAGCAATATTCCAAGTTGGATAGAGAAAGAGTGAAGGGTTTTCAATCTTGAAAGACAGCATTCAAATGCTAAATTTTATTTAGCTTCGAACACTGTTGGAAATACGATTGCAATATTAGCGATTTTCTAAGCCCGGCTTAGATGTGGCACAAGGCCGAAAGTATGGGGTACCCAGTGAGGATCGAACTCACTACTCAGTCGTAATTGATCTAGCGAGACAAGCTTCCTAACCATTACACCACGTCGAGGTGCCCCGATTGCAATATTAGACAGGATGTGAATGAAAAGAATTTTATTCAAAACATAGCTGTGATCTTTATTGTTGATACAGGTACTTGTGTTCGAACACAGTTTTTAAAAAAAAGATCTCGAAGGCTGATTTTCAAGGCAGAGAGGTAGGCGCTCTCTACTCGTAGTACCATCGTGACAAAGTTTTATTACCTACATTTCTTCCCGTATGGCCTCGCTCAGATGTATAAAAGGGTGTGCGGGTAGTTTAACGGTTATTGGCGTGTGAGGGGGAATCGACGAGCCGAGTTCAAATTGCGTTCACTTTTGCGCTAGCGGCTCTGTGAAGGAGATGAGACTCCACTGCTTCACCTCACCAGCTGTAGTAATGTTGGACTCTCGAGCCGTTACTAGCAGCCAGGTTAGGAGAACAACAAACCTGGATTGAAAACTATGGTACTCAGGCAACAACGTCACTATCCTTCCCAAGTAATCATGGCAATTATCGCATAATAAAGAAACGGAATATGGGAAAAGCCATGATCACCTACGGGCTGAGGTGATATATTGCAAAAAATATTAGGTTGTCCCAAAAGTTCGTAAACACTTGCAAAAAATTGAAATTTTACTCGCCAAGTAATAACAAAAACAACAAAAATTATTCCTCAAAATAAAGACTATCATTTTCCAAGACTTTCTACCATCGATCTGCAAGATTTCGGATCTGGTGAAAGTACCATTCAGCCGGCTTCGAATCAAAGAATTCTTGACACGCTTCCTTGACTTTATCAAACGAGTTGAATCGGCGGCTTTTCAGAAAGTGTTGCATTGAGCGGAAAAGGCCGTAATCTGATGGAGCACAGTCAGGACTGTAGGCTGGATGTGGCAGAACCTCAACGCCGTCCAGCTCTTCAAACTTGTCTTTGGTCGTCCTGGCGGTGTGTGGCTTGACATTGTCCTGCTGCATCAAAGCGCGTTTTCGGTTGATCAGAGCCGGGTACTTTTGCTTCAACTTTTCGTAGACCCGCTCCAGTTGCTGACAGTAAAGTTCGGAACTGATGGCACGACCATTCGGAACCAACTCAAAATGCACGATTCCTTCAAAGTTCCACCAAACGCACAACATGACTTTCTTGCCGAATCGATCTTGTTTTTAGAACCGACGGTGTCTCTTGCCCTTTCTCAACCCATCGCTTGTCTCGATTGTGCTGGATTGTGTTGCCTAAAAATTCAATTTTTCGCAAGTGTTTACGAACTTTTGGGACAACCTAATAGAAAGAAAAGTCAAGTAATAAGATAATGAATATTTCATAAGTGTATTAATTTTCAACATATCTGCTATTTATTCTTGAGAGAAAATACTTTTTTAATAAGGTCCAAAAACACATTCTCCGGTTGCCTATCAGCTATAAAAGTTATCGCATTTAAATCAACCACAAGACATGACAGATACCTTTTTTCCCTGTGGTTGGCCGATGTGAGATTTGGTAAACTTTAAAGCCGATAAGATTGACACAATATAATTGCCTTTCCTACATTTCATCCGTCTGGCTTTAGACTAAAGTAAACTTAAGAATTCTTATAAAAAATAAATTTATAACACAAGCTCAAAAATATTTTAGATAACGACTTTCCTGAGTAAAGAAAAATTTCAGGGTGTCCTAATTTGACATCTTCGGTTATATTTATATCCTAGATAAGAGTATTAAAATTGTAAAGTGCATATAAAGGGACTTCATAGATATAATATATATATATATATATATATATATATATATATATATATATATATATATATATATATATATAATATTTTCACAAAAGATGTATGAGTTGTAAAAGCAGTAAAACTGTTTGATGTAAAAGCACAGATCATATAGTTACTTTCTTTACTAACTGCAGATAACGCCAGCGTCTCAAACACTTTACTTTTGGAATCAGATATATTTATTTATTTTATTTATAAATATATTTAGTACATTTCTTCCGATATATACGGAATATATATATATATATATATATATATATATATAAATATATATATATATCGGAAGAAAAATAAAATAAAATAAATAAATATATTTTTTATATTTCATAAATAAAATAAATAAATATATCGTTTCTTCCGATATATATATATATATATATATATATATATATATATATATATATATATATATATATATATATATATATATATATCGGAAGAAACGTACTAAATATATTTCATAAATAAAATTTGAAAAATACGAGGCGACACCTACTGAAACGTGAACACGAAATGTTTTTAAAGACCAATATGACACGATTTTAGAAAAACGCGGTAACAAACATAATGCAAAAAAAAAAATAATTGTGTTTTTATAATAGTTCCTGAAAGCCGAAAACACTTAGATATTAGACAATTTATATCTCCCCTTTCACCGGAAAATAGGAAATTATTTTGAAATATAAATAATAATAATAATAACAATAATAAAAGCATTAAGAATTTTTCGTTAGCCGTGAAGCAAATTTGTATAAATGAAAAATTGCTCCCCCAATAGATTCAACGTCCTTATCAATATACTTAATTCGGTAATGAACATTAATAACATCAATAGTTCAAACGTTAAACAGTGAAAATTTAAAATCAAAATACAGCTAATAACTTTGAGTCAAGTATGTGTGCAGGAAATGCTATCCAAAAATTCAAGAAACTTATTCCGTAAAATGGTTTCCACAAAGAAAAGCAAAATTGATAGAATATTATTTTTCATAGTAGATTGATGTGAAAAACACGGTACGACTGGAGAAACGCAGGTTAACTTGGCATATCAACAGAATGGTCAGTCTATTCAAAGAACCTCGTTTTAGAATCGAAATTATAGAAGCCATTATTATACAAAAGAACAGAATCGACATTAAATAAAATAATTTTAATCATAGAAGACGTTTTTTTCTGTAAGTATATTTAAAATAATAACATTGCGTTTAAATATTTGATACATGCTTTTTTGGCGCATTCTAACTAACTTTAAACCTTACACATGGCCTCACTTGGATCGATTCAAATCCTAGCTCTGGCAAAAGGCCAGAATGTAACCAACAGTATCTTGTCTAACACACGGTTCTTCATAGTGACAGAACACGTTCGAAAGCACCTGAACAAAATAGAAGCATGAACTTCGGACTTCGTCTTCTATGTGCCGTTTACTTTCAGGATGTTGGCGATCAAGGCTCACCACAATTTCCTGTCCTTTGTATCGCTTAATAACTTTTGTCATTTTGTATGAAATATTTACAGCCTTCTTTTCCCATTATGTTCCCTAGAAATTTCAACTGCCTCTTTCTGATCTTGAGTATAAGTGTGCTTTTTTTCGATTTTCCCTAAAACCTCGTTTTTACTCACTTTTTCATGTTATTTTCAGCATCCTTCTATAGAACTACACTTCTGTCACTTCAAGTCTCTTCTTCATCTGGGAGATTGCCCAACATTCACGACCATATAAGAGGACGGATATTATGTTACAGTTCAGTACTATTTTCTTTGTTTCTAACAAAATTTTCCTGTTTCTTAATACTTTGCTTAGCTTTTGGTACTCATGGAACTTCGGACAGTTTATCTAAAATTTTGATCCTGA